GCCAGGCAAATCTACCTAGGTTTTACCTAACCTGATCGTCAGCTTTTCACTGATGATTCTGTTAGTTGAAACCTTGTTATGTTTGCCTGGCTCCTTAAATTTATTTCAGATTTGCTCTACTTCGTGTATTGAGCACTTTACGTAGTTATTTTTACTCGTTTTGGGTTTTTTTTTTTGGACTCTGAGCTTGAACACTGGATGATTGTTTTCGCCTCAGTTTCATGTTCTTGATATATATATATATATATATATATATATATATATATATAAAGTCATCCACAGACAGACTGTTTGGCTATTTCACAGCTCTTCAGTGTGGCTAGACATCCGGTTGTCTCTAGCTAGGATCGAAAACCGACTGAATTGGTGTCAGTCGGAGATACTACCACTAAGTCGGCGCACGGATGAAGGTGAATTTTAGCGTATTTATTTTAGATAAACGCACACAGTGACCGGCAGTGACTCAATTCGCTTTTTGCCGGAAAGTCTCGCTATATCAGCCATAATAGTCACTGTTTACAAACTTACATCGCTGTTTACATCGCTCAACTGAAATTAATTTTTCAGGAGCCTATATAAAGTCATCCACAGACAGACTGTTTCGCTGTTTCACAGCTCTTCAGTGAAGACATCCGGTTGCCTCTAACATTGGTGTCAGATGTAGCTTCTACTATTAAGCCGTCGGCGCACGACAGGGATGAAGGTGAACTTTAGCGTGAAATTGTCTAATGCATAATATTGTAGCCATTTTACCTCAGGAACCGTATAGGACGCCTGGATGTCGTTTACGACTCTAAATCTGCAGGTCATGACCTCTTATGTACGACTGCTTCTGAACTTTCGTTTTTCCGCTACTTTAAACTTCCTATTGGTTGATCTGAATTAAAGCAAAACAAACCCTGCAATCATCTCCTCTATTTTCTTTCTTACTCTTTTTCTTATTCTTCCTTTTCGCGTGAAGACAGGGTGTATCTTGATTTAAAATCTCATTAAACTTTCTACTCACCAGTTATTTACTAACGCCTGATGAGATGTGTTAATGCGCATCGAAACATAATTGCATTTGTGTAGGGTTTTTTCATGGTTTGGTTTATTTTGTTTTACGGCATATCAACCTCAATGGGTTATTTAATGCCGACAAAGATTTTTATTGCTGGTAATATTTTGTTTTGTCAAAAATCTGTTTCTGATAATATTTTTCCTTCAAAATTGTATTGCTGGTAATAATTTTTTTCAAAAAAGTATTGGTGGTAATAGTCAACTATTTGCCCATAGATGGGACCCTAACTGGTGCTACCACCCTGGGTCAGGTTGGATCTGGGAACATCAGCAATTAAGAGGTGGTTCCATACTCAAAAAACACCTGATCCTTGCTGCTGGATATAGTTTATCGTCTTACCCAGGACGCATTTTTAAATGTGTTTGATGTAATATGCCAAGATAATATATATATATATATATATATATATATATATATATATATATTCCCCATCAAGATTAGAGCTAAATTTACCGTTAACACTTCAATGACTATTATTTACAATTATAATATAAATTAGTAGCCCTATCAATATAATTGCAATCGTCTAAAATTCACAAGCAATCAGTGTTAAAAATAAAACCATCATCACCGCTAGATTCACATAGAAAACCCACTTAAACAATATGGTGATATAAAGCCCAGACAAATAGAAATATATGCGCACGTATACATATGTGTGAAGAAGAGTTATTCCGTTTGACCACACAGACGGTCGATCTGAAAAGAGGCAAGAAAGCCCCAACCTATCCCTTGTTGAAAGAACTTCGCTTCATAGAGTCTCAACACCGAAATAGTATTTCAAATGCGTATGTACGTATGCTCGAACACATAGATATATATCTGCGTCTAATCTCGCATTGTTTATATGTGTGCATTTGTGTGAGCTGTGATCCGTACAACTGTATGTATGTCTGCGTGCGAATGAGTGTCATCCCAAAACGGACACAAAGGAGAATCCCTTACACAAACACCCAAAACATAATCAAACCCAAACTAACAATAATAGATTCAATTTTTAAAAAATAAACCAGTTTGTCTGCTGGTCGCAAAAGCGTCAAACCCAGTGTTACAAACTCATATCCATACAACTGAATATATATATATATATATATATATATAAAGAAATGGACAAAGTCCGACAATTTATTTATTAAAGACATTTCTATGTTTAACGTTCTTTTTTATAGATACAAGTATTTAAGTAAATGCTCTGTTTATAATAAACAGTATTAAATAACATTTACCGGCCTGAATGTCCGAGAAATTTTCATCGAAAATATTCGTCCTTTGACAGGATTCGAACCTGCATCCTATACGGAACCGTCGTTTACGCTGACGTGCCTTACCAATCGGCCACAAAGGAGCGTTCGGTAGACAAGGTCGAATTAATATATATGAAAGTTTTTGTGGTTGTAGGTATTTGCACTTGAAAGTTTATGATTTTAGTGTGCATTAAAAATTGACGCATATAATTTAGGACCCAGGCATAAAATCGTTCAGTACTAGGCTTAAATATTTACGACATTTCGACTAAATATAATTATTATACGCGAGTAAATATTAATGCAATAGTTAGAGTTCTTATTTTTGTCTCTGTGTATTTATTGACGCGTATCGCCATAGAAACAAGAAAACGAACGCCTTTAAGTGCATATTGGAAAAGCGTCAACTAAACAGTGGACGGCCACAACTACAAGTTTGCACGCAATCATCACTTAATCGACAGATGTTGTTTGTGAAAATGGATACTTTATACTCTCGCTCAACACGTTCCAGATGTTAAAACGGGGGTAGTTGATATGCACATACCGTGCACACACCAACCAAACTCAGCGAGGGTGGCGCGTAGTCGGTAAATAACCACCCGGCCAAGATAGAAATGCCGAAAAAATTGTTATTACTTGGGAAAAGAAAACAACCCCAAACTCCAAAATTTGCCGAAAAAGTGCACGGTAGCACGGGAGACCGTAGGGTTTCAGCAGGTGAGCATAATTCTGAAAGCAAAATAGTACTCAACATTTCTATTACCATAAAGATATATTTTATAAGGTTTTATTCAATTCGTTCTTGTGTTCTGAATTTTCTCTTCTTTTTTTTTTTCTTTCTTTTTTTTTTGTGGGGTGGAGGACTGAGTGAGTGGTTATTATTCCGAACGCGTTCAGTTAATGCTTCATCTCCGTCAAGGATCCTGGTTAATTCTCAGAAAGATAAAACAATAACGTTCATTGCGCCAATATGGAACCCAGAACAAAATATCTTAGCTGTGTTCGGGCAATAAGCAAAAAGTCAGCAAAGAATGAAAATGGCAAAAGAAAACCGCTCACACAACATATAAAAACCAGAACGAATTTATTATCAATTACAATTAACAAATGTAATTAATTGTCATGATAATTATCATTAAAAAGCATAAAATGAAGAATACTGCCCAAGTATGCAATATATGTTGATTTTCAAAGCGCAGCTAATATGTAGAAAAGGCCGAAAGTATAGGACACTGAGTGAAGATCGAACTCTTTAGTCAGTTGATTCTAGCAAGACAACAATTACACCATATCAAGGTGGCCAAATAAGTTTCTAAGCGTAGCATAGATGTGGCACAATGCTGAAAGTATGGGGCACCCAGTGAGAGATCGAACTCAGTATTCAGTCGTAAGTGATCTAACGAGACAAGCTTTACTAACCATTGCACCATATCAAAATGACCATATATGATTGTATGTATGTACGGATGGTTGGTGTTACGTTTTTATGTTTACTTCCAAGTGAGGTTGTTTATCAACTATATAATTAAATCTTATATATATATATATTATGAAATTGACAAAGTCCGACAATTATGTTAAGACATTTTTATATTTATACATTCTTTTAATAGATACAAATATTTAAATAAATACTTTCGTCCTCCGACAGAAATCGAACCTCTACCCTATATCCGGTAAATGTTGTTTAATACTGTTTATTATAAAACAGGGTATTTACTTAAATATAACTATCTATAAACAGAATGCATAAACATAAAAATGTCTTAAAATAATTGTCGGACTTTGTCTATTTATAATGTGTGACGTCATTTGTTTACATTTGATACGCCATGAGCAGATATGAATGTACGTGAGAGATTCATGGAAGATTGAAGTTTAACGACAGTAAAATCGACCTTGCTAACCGAACGCTCCTCTGTGGCCAAATCGGTTAAAGGCGCGTCAGGCTAAATGACGGTTCCGAATAGGATACTGGTTCGATTTCTATGAAAATTTCTCGGACATTCAGGCCGCTAAATGTTGTTTATTATAAAACAGAATTATTAAATTATATATATATAATTTCTCAGAGATAACCTGTAGAAAAAGACAATATTTATAAATGTAAAAAACAATAGGAAAACGCTTTTCGTCCAATGTGGACTTTTTTCAAGGCAAAAATGAATTTATTAAGCAAAGTAACTCATAATAACAAAACAAAGTATGTATGTATTTGAGTATATCACTAGATATTACTAAGTTATCGCACATTACACCGACTCTCTCTCCCTCTATCATTATTTATTATATATGTACATATAGGAATACACACACGCACACAGACACATAGAGACACACGCACGCATATATATATATATATATATATATATATAGTATTCCTATATGTACATATATAATATATAGTGAGAAAGAGAGGGGTGACATGCGATAATTTTGCAAGATTTAGTTTTATACACAAATACATATATATATATATATATATATATATATATATATATATATATATATATATATATATATTGTTGTTAAATTTAATCATATAGTTAATAAACAGTCTCACTTGGAAGTAAACATGAAAACACATAAACATATACATATATATGTCTCTCTCTCTCTCTCTCTCTCTGTGTGTGTGTGTGTGTGTGTGTGTGTGTGCTATTCATACATATGCCGGAAAATATGTATTAGTTTTAATCCTGGTAAATAATCCTGTGAAAGAGTTCGGCGCGTAAACTTGGAAAGAAAGAAAGAACAAAAAGAAAGAAAGAAAGAAAGAAAGGGCAATGCTGAGGAATTTTAATCGCTAACCTTTTTAACGAGCCCTAGCCGCAGGCCCCAAAAGCTTTGAAACACATGAAGAGAGATATTCAAAAATACCATTTCCTGAATAGGAAATGAAATTGGCGCCAATGATGCTGTCATTCTCAGCAGTAACCTCTCAAGGGCTTACGTTTCCAATTCGAAGTGGTTTTAACAAAAGTAGGGCCACAAACGTTACACCATTCATGTTTTAAATCTCATTCATGAAATGGTACAAGCAAGTCTGACAAGGAAAGAGTACACACGGAAATATACCCACATCTAAAATATTACGGCTGTAAGAATATTTGTAAAAATATCAAGATATGCGAATAGAAATATGAGGGTGTATGTGTGTGTGTGTGTGTGTGTGTGTGAGAGAGAGAGAGAGAGAGAGAGAGAGAGAGAGAGAGAGAGAGAGAGAGAGTGGTGTAATAGAAGAGAGTGTAAGTGGGCTGGCGAGTAAATACCATCTACCAAAATATGCATTTGCAATTTGTTAATCGCAATTCTAATTATTATCGTAATTGAAGAATGACATATTTTATACTGAAATCCACCAAATACAAGGCTCTAAAGCCACTCAAGATCTAGAGAAAGGGTCGGTAATTCCCGGCCCCCGGGCCACATTCGGCTCGCGAATGATTTTTGTCCAGCCCACCAGCTTTATACCAGCACACTAATTATGTAATTAATTTGTGGAGCAAGTTGCAAAAAAAATATCATTTGAAGTTAATTGACTTAAAATGCGACGAGTTTTTTAAAATCAAAATTTAATTCCGAATCCACTGTTGATTTCTACAAAAATACACGGTGTCCATAAAGTTCGTGTGCATTTTAAAAAATTATAACTTTATTTGTATTTGCGATAGAAATAATCTGTAAAAAATGTTATAAAGTTTAATGTACCTAGTTTTAAGTATAGTTATTGAATAATTCTTTACCACAGAATTTGCAAGAATTTTTAGATAAGTAAAAAAATATTTTCTTTTTTCCTTGACCATTTCCGGACCATTTTATTGGCCTCCACATTCGCCAGATTTGACTCCATTAGATTTTCTCATGGGGACATGTGAAAACAATTGTGTATGCAACCAAACCTAGTTCCTTAGAAGATTTGAAATCTAAAATAACTAATAAGATTTCAGGCATAACTGTAAATCAGTTGGCAAATGTTTTCCGTGAACTGCAAAATCGTATTACCCTTTGTATTGCTAATGATGTAAGACATGTCGAAACTTAAATAAAATTTCAATAAAACCTTAAAAAATATAGATTTACTTCTTTCTAATCGTTTTTACAAATTATTTCTATCGCAAATACAAATAAAGTTATAATTTTTTTAAAGTGAACACGAACTTTATGGACACACTGTATGTTTTGAAAAGTGGAAAATAGAAAATCCTATTGAATAATGCGAAAATGATGGTATCATTACTTGGAAGTACATAGGCTTGTGAACAACTTTTTTCGAAAATGAAATCTATTAAAAGTCATTGAAGAACAAGGTTGGGTGATGACCACCTGGATGATGTTTTGCTCCTGTCATCGGCAAATATTTCACCTGATGTGGTGAAGTTATCAAACAATAAGCAAAAACAAGAGTCTCATTAAATAATTTGCCTTTTCTAACTCTATTTCGTTTGTAGTAAAAAATTTACATTTTTTGTTTATTGTGTTATTTCTTATCCAGTAGTAAAACAAGGAACCTTATTTAAATAATATATCATTAACTTTATTGTTTTGTCTTTAAACTTCCAGACCAAGGCAGCCTTCTGTATAAAGCAGTCTAAGATCAAAACAATTTGTTATAATACATTTGAGATCATGACCCTCCCCCCAAGGCAATGCATAGCTTCCTGCCCCGCTCTCCCCAAATGGTTTCCTACCCACTTGTATTTGGCGAATTTCAGTATAAAATATGTCATTGTTGAATTACTATATCAATTTCTGATAATAATTACAATTCCGATTAACAAATAAATTGTGAATGTATATTTTGACAGATGATTACTGTTAGGCAGAGGATTACAGTTAGGCAGAAGGTTACTGTTAGGCAGATGGTTACTTTTAGTCAGAAGGTTACTGTTAGGCAGAGGATTGCTGTTAGGCAGACGGTTACTGCCAGGATGAGGATTACTGTTAGGCAGAGGGTTACTCTTAGGAAAAAGGTTACTGTTAGGCAGAGGATTACTGTTAGGATGAGGATTACTGTTAGGCAAAAGGTTACTGTTAGGCAGAGGATTACTGTTAGGCAGAAGGTTACTGTTAGGCAGAGGATTACTGTTAGAATATTTATGACGAATAAGGTTTGTGATAGGAATGAATGGATAGGTGCTGGGATGTGTGTATTCTGAGGATAAGGTGAATAGATAACGATTGATTTTGATATTAAAAATTTGAGATGATAGTGTTGACAATCGGAAACAAACAAACGTGAGATTATATGTATTATGACATTTTCCCGATATTAATTAAACTTATTTATCTACTCTGGTATAATGTTACCAGACTATAGCTGTCATTCTTTTCTCATATCATTGATTATAATTCGATTCTTCAGTGTATAAGTCCCCTCCAACAAATCAAAATTGATTCTACAGGAATTTACTTAACAGCAGATGCATATCTGTCTTGGAGGTTAACTGCAATAAAGAACAAATGATTTAGAAATATATACAGCAGAATCCCTTCCGGATATGAGGAATTGGTTACAAAGTCCGGATATGAGAGGTTATATTTAGATTTAAATAAAAGAACTGAAATCAGGTTTAACATTTATTTTCAGTGTTTTATAGTAAACAAAATAAGCTAATGGTCAGTGAAATATAACGGAAATGATTTTAAGGAAAAAGAAATAAATTATGTTATGACAATAAAAATTAATTATGCCACGTATGCAAAACAAATAATGCAACGAGGTTTTTTTTTATCGCTGTTGTATGATGAGTCTTTCTCTTCTAACGTCATTCACAACTTTTTCAACATTTCATTTTGCTTTTATCCTTGAAGTTTTTCAAACAAAAGACAATTTTTAACACCGCGCGCGTTATTGCAATCGTCATAGCTGAATGCTGGTTTTCTTGCCATAAAACTGACAACCTTTTCAATACCTTTTTCAATTTCAGTCCAGGCTTCATCACAGTTATGCATCTCTTGCTATCTTGTTGCAGATGTGTCTCGTTGTCATCCTTTCCTCTTATTTCCATCATCTTTTGCACCAATACAAGCCATTAGGGTAAAATAGGCATAAGCAATTATCCAGTGTAAATTTCCTGAAAAACAGAAACTTCAAATCAGTTATATATCACCCAAATAGTTCAAATATAGACATCAAAATTATGTCCGGATATGTAGAATTCCGGATATGAGGCACTCCGGATATGAGGGATTCCGGATATGAGGTATTCTGGATATGAGGGATTCTGCTGTATTTACATTTTTCTTGTTATTGTGAGACTATTATCTTTGAAAAGAAATGTCTTCATCTATGTGCCGTATTCCTTGAGTTCGTGAGCGATCATGGCTCTCCACAATTATTCTCCTTTGTAGTTTTTACTAAAGTTTTTTTTTAACTGATTTATAAGAGGTTAAATTAGTAACGCGTTTTTTGTTCTCGCTATTTTCAACAAATAAACCAAGTTTAAATGTTACAGTCAAGATTAGATAATCAATTTAAATGGTTTTTCTTTGAAAATCTGGTAGCGTTTTCTCTTTATTTAAAAAAAAAATTCCGAGTCACTGTTTAACAATTTAACATTTACAGTGCCTAAAAGAAAATGACATTTAAATATTAGACGCTATTTATTCTATATTTTATCTTAAATGTCTTTCGGGGGATGAAAGCTCAATGGAACAGATCTAGAACCTTCTCACTCCACGTAGGAACCACTCCTTGATGTAAACGTACTCATTACGCTTGACTAATTACTGGCTGTTGAAGCTATTTAACCCTTAGTTGGAGGTTTTGAATTCAGGGTTGTTGTTCTCATAAACAGGGGGCCATACTCCCTGTAAGAACCCCTTCCTGATTCAGGGGTATAGTCGTACTCACCATGCTTGGCTAATTGCGGGTTAGTGAGGCTGTTTAATACATAGTTGGCGAATTCATAGCCGTCGTTTTCATATAAGACCCAGTTTGTTCTGGTATTTACCCAGAAGGGAGAAGAGATGGTTTCATGCCTTTTCCGAGGGTATCTGCACGCAAGTGAATGTAACAAACTCGACTGGAATTCGAACTCAGAACTCCGAGTTCTCAATCTGAGTCGCTATGCGTTATTTACACAAGTCGGAGAAAAGTGCTTCATACAGACAGTTCATCAGCTTTTAACGTATTTTCTAAGCTTACTGAAAATTTTAAAATTTATATCTTAATTTCTTGCATAAGATTTATCATTATTTAAACTATTTACATTCGTGCTATTGTCCTCATCTTTGTTGTTTTTATCACAACGGCTGAAACGGTCTTAATGCGACCAAAACATTGTGATAAGTAGGACAAAGATGAGGACAATAGTTCGAAGCAAATCGTGCAAATACTTTAATAAAGAGTCGCTAAAATATTTGCTGTATTTCCTTTTCCATTTCTCATAACATTTTAATTTCAACGTTTCGACCACTTTACTCGGCAACGTTTTACATGAGTCTCGCTCATTCAGTGATCTAGGATCATCAGACGGAAACATCCACATGGAAACATTGAAAATACGTTGTTCTTTTTACGTCCGAGAAACTCCCCATCTTATTTCGATCCTGAATCAAAAAAAGTGTATAGAAGGGAGATAACTCTTTATTATTTAACTTATCCAAATGAAATCGTTATGTCGACACGCACAGACGGAAGTATTGATGATTGAGGTAACTGTCACCAGCACCAGAGTCAAGGTTTCGAATCTAAGAAAAAGCTAAAATTTAGAATATTAATTGTCAAGGCAGACAGATACTAGAAAAACTGACGTTGCACAATCTTTTTAATTACTCTCCACTTTATTTAGCCTCGTGATGTCTGGTTTGCTTTAGTTTGTTTTACGGTACAACAACCTCAATGGATTATTTAATGCCGACATGATTTTTATTGCTGGTAATATATATTTATTTATCTATCTATCTATCTATCTATCTATCTATCTATCCCAGTATATATTGTTTTGTTTTACGGCATATCAACCTCAATGGATTATTTAATGCCAAGATTTTTATTGCTGGTAATATTATTTTATCTATCTATCTATCTATTGGTTTGGTTTGTTTTGCTTTACGGCATATCAACTTCAATGGATTATTTAATGGCGATAAATTTTTATTGCTAGTAATATTTTTTCCAAAACTGTATTGCTGGCATTTTTTTTTTATATAAAATGCCTTGCTGGTAATACTTTCTCCTTAAATAATTTATTGCTGGTAATTTTTATTTCTGGCATTAAAACGTATTTTTTACACTTTCACAGTACTTAGACCATAGTTTGCCTGTAACTCGGACACTAACAGGTGCTACCATCCCATATATATATATATATATATATATATATATATATATATATATATATATATATATATATATATATATATATAATTTATACATTCTTTTTATAGATACAAATGTTTAAGTAAATGCTCTGTTTATAATAAACAGTATTAACAAAATTTACCGGCCTAAATGTCCGAGGAATTTTCATAGAAAATATTCGTCCTCCGACAGGAATCGAACCTGTATCCTATACGGAACCGTCATAATATAGCCTGACGTGCCTTGACCGATTGAGCCCGGTTTGAGAAGCGTTTCGGTTAGCAAGGTCGATTTTGCTGTTTTTATACACAATTCTCCATGATTTTCTCGCGTACATTCATATCTGCTCAATGCTTATCCAAATGTAAACAAATGACGTCACAAAGTCCGACACTAATTTTAAGACATTTTTTATATATTCAAGACGGTAAATGTTGTTTATTATAAACAGAACATTTACTTAAATATTTGTACCTATAAAAAGAAAGTATAAACACACACACACACACACACACACACACACACACACACACACACACATATATATATATATATAGTTATACTCGTTTGGAAAAACCTTAGGTATTTTGGTCTGTAATTGAAAAAACCAATGCCGAAGGGAAAATAAAGGGATAAAAAAAAAGAAAGAACTAAGAACATGAAATTGAGGCGAAAACAATCGTCCAGAATCCAAGCTCAGAGACCAAAGAAAAAAAAAACTCCAAAATGAGTAAAGCAAGTATCTACGTAAAGTGCTCAATACACAAAGTAAGGCAAACATAAATATGAACCTAAAGAGCCAGGTAAATCTATCTAGTTTTCACCTATATTGATCGTCAGGGTCGACTTGCCAGTCGACTATGACGATCCGTATAGGTAAAACCTCGATTGGTTTGCTTGGCTCTTTAGGGGTTCATATACATACATATATATATATATATATATATATATATATGTGTGTGTGTGTGTGTGTGTGTGTGTGTGTGTGTATGGCAGGTTTTCATAACATTATTTTAATACCAGAAATATTGCTACAAATAAATTTGGAAGTTTTATGCAGAAGGAACTTGAGCGTGATCTTGTAAGAATTGTTGAAAGTATTTTTGAAAATTTTATCACAAATGAGTTCTCGAATAATTTGTAAGCAGTTGGGTTAAAGTTAACAATTAACATTATTACGAGATCCTGCAGAGAGTCCGCCTATAATCATACTAAAACTTTTCTAAAGTACTCTTTTCAAAGATTTTCTAATATTTACAAATGAATATATTGATTAGACTATCTCGTTCTAGAATATTATTATAATGTCAGATTAAAGCAAATTAGAACTTTTGAGGCATATTAACAAGAAAGATATCAAGGTAAAAACTTCAATGCAACGAACATAGTCCATACGATAAACAAGGAAAGAGTAGCGCATTTTCTTTTGCATAATACGACATTTTGTTTCTGAAGCTAAAAACGGAATATGTTACATCTTTGGACATAATACAACCCCGTCGTACAGCCTTGTCTATGTAATTTCAAAAACTGCTCAGCCATATTATCCATTAAAATCTCAAACTTGTACATATATTTCACAATGTGGACACTTCGATGTGGTGTAGCTGTTGGTAAGTTTGTCTTGCTAGATCAGTTACGACTGAGTAATGGGTTCGATTTTCACTAAGTGCTCCATACTTTCGGCCTTGTTCCACATCTAAGCTACGCTTAAAAATCACCATATAGTTTACAGTTTATCACTCTAAAGGTGTATATTAGAAATCGATTAAATTGTTATTCACGCCAATGATTCATAGTCTAGAAATACGTTCAGGAAAGAGCGAATTCTGGCTTGAATTCAATTGAAATTTATGGGGTAAACTGAAAGAGCAAGAAAACATTTTAATCAGTAATATGCATATGACGTCGTAATCCGCTCTTTGTCCCTGTACAACCTTTGATGACACCCAAGGTCGGCTGTGTCTGCATATACACCTATACTCGCTCTGTTCACGGGTTTGTCTCCGTGGTCGAATTCAGCAAAGAATAACGACAAATGCTTTTCAAGAAACTTTTTTGGGAAATAGCAACCATACGATTTCTCACTTAACCGTGGTATGTTTCCTTCAGCATCGAGAATGCGGGCTGTCATTTTACTAACTTCTGGCCATGGAGACAGGACCCTTATATTCAGTGGCCATCTAGGCGACTACTGATTCCTCACTGCTCGCTGTTCCGTTCTTCCTCTTTGACTGCCGTTCCTTTAACTTACAGGTTGCGGGTCACTTACCGCTTTCTTCCTGCATCTCACTGCTTATATGGATATGTGCTGAGGTTTCACCACCTATCCGTCCACTTGTGTTCCGAAAAATTAGATCACGCAAAAGCTGGATGGGTGGTCAGTTTCTCAAAGAACTCTACTTTTATTATTATCTAAAATCATTAACAAAATTTTATGTTTGCCAATTCAAAGGCGGGCTGGAGACATGGTTCATGAAAACATTGTCATTAAGTTGACTGGAGACAAACTTCCTAAGAAACCATGGTAATCAAATTGACTTAAAAGGAAAAGTAATCTATCTACTTATCTCCTAAAGATGCATAAAAAATGTTGCCACAGGCTTTTACTATTTTAGCAAAAGGTTACTTAATACATTCGAAAAAGTCATCGTCAAAACAGGATGTACAATAAATGATTAATTTTGTCACGTAATTAATTTTGGTCATTTTTCTGTTTGTTCGCAGCGATTCAAAATTGAATGTTTGTTTATATACTTACTATTCTATAACTACATTTGTTTTCAGAGAATCTTTAGAAATCCAATATATTCTTATTATTATTTCCATTTTTTAAAATTGTTGACCATGCCAAAAATTCCACTTACAGGTATATGTGGCACCCTGCATTATTAGAAAAACTAAAAAGAAATATTCATAGAAATATGATTTTATTTTATTCGGTTTATTAACCAGTTGTTAGTTATTTAGACGAAGAATAATTAAATTTTGAGAATAATTCTCTAAGTGTATTTAGGCGACCCTAAGGGAAGAAGAAAGGAAAAAGAAAAAGGAAAAGAAAAGAAAAGGAGAGGGAGAGATGGGTAATGCAAAAAGCCGGTCATTAGCGAAAACAGGTGTCAAGAGATATCTAGGCCAACGCGCCTGACCGAATTTCAAGGACAATGGAAATTGTTATTTGAAAGAATAAAGTTTAGAGATAGTGAACGGACATGGTAAAAGTGTATGAACATACGTACGATTGATAAAAATATCGGTCAAAACATCTGGCCTACTTTTGTGTAGAAGCTCATTATCAATTTGGAGAAATGGGATTTTTAGAACAATGGAAAACGAAATATTAATCGGAGAAGGGTGTCTTTTGGGATGAGAAGGTGACCGCTGGAATTGTATACAGATCCTGACCTGTTGAAAATTAGAACCCCCACGATGATGAAGTGAAGACATTTTCAATTCAGATAATTAAGATTTTTGACTATCAGGTCTGAGCAAAAACAAAGAGGTGAAAACAATTGTTTTGGCTCACAGAAAGCGCCAGCGAGACGAGAAAAATTCTTCCTGAAGTCATATCTAATTAGCGGCGGGCTGTTTTGACAAAAGCCAAAAAGTGAGAAAGGCCGGGATTGTCATTTTTCGTGCGTGCGAAAAAGGCCAAATGGATTTTGTTTTTTTAGCAATGTGTCTCTTTCCCAGAACAAAGCCGGGATAGACCACGCCCGATTGGAGACGTCACGAAGGACGGAGACGCCCAACCAGAATCTCATTAGCCGAAAGCGGTCACGTGATATGCGAGAAAGAGGAGAAAAGGACGCTCGACCAAGACCCATTGGTCGAAAACGGTCACCTGACATACGAGACCGGGAGAGATGGGTATGCGCCTCCCCACCAGAGGCACTGTGAGGAAGTAGGGGTGAAAATAAGAGCGATAATGGGAAATCAGAAATAATGCGACTTTTGAAATTATCAAGAAAACCCTGACGCCGACAGACCCACCTCAGTTTGTTGCGGCGTCAATAAAAGCAGGACCCCAATCGACAGAAATCACAGAGAGTTGCGGGGTAGACGGCCAGAGCAGTTGGAACGCGGGCGGCAGGCCCGGTTCACTCGCCCCTTTGCGGGCAAGAGAATCCGGAATGAAGGAATTCGTCCAGCCAAGTCGAAGTGAAGATTGCCCGAAAGCCTAAGAAGAGTTGGAGCTGCAGCCCGAAAGTCGATGAGAAGTTAAAGTTGCAGGCCAGACAAGCAGAAGAATTGCAGGCCAGACAAGCAGAAGAATTGCAGGCCAGACAGGAAGAAGAGCTGCAGGCCAGACAAGAAGAAGAGCTGCAGGCCAGACAGGAAGAAGAGCTGCAGGCCAGGCAAGCAGAAGAATTGCAGGCCAGACAAGAAGAAGAGCTGCAGGCCAGACAAGAAGAAGAATTGCAGGCCAGATAGGCAGAAGAGTTGCAGGCCAGACAGGCAGTAAAGTTGCAGGCCAAACAAGCAGAAGAGTTCAGCCCCGGACGGCAGCGAGAAGAGTTCACTTCCCCGGAAAGCAGAGAGAAGAGTTCACCTCAGACGGCAGAGAGAAGAGTTCGGACCTTGGCGAGAAGAGTTGCAGGACGGAAGAAGAAGAAGTTACTTGCAGTTACGCATAGAAGTTGAAATCAAACCAAGCCTAAGAACAGAGATTCGTCCAGCCCAAATCGAAGTGAAGAAATTCGTCCAACTCAATCCGAAGTGAATAAGCTCGTCCAACTCAAGCCGCAGAGAAGAATCAGCCGTGAACGACTGGTAGAGATTAGCGCCCAGTGTCGAAACTAAACCACATTCCGACATACAAAATTCTAAAGAGTAGGCAACTCGAAGTCTTTAAGTTGTAAGATAGAAGCTTGGTGCCACAGTCCACAAAGCGGGTCGGGAAGTAAGAATAATTTTTATGTAACGAACATTAGATATAAAAAGTTTGTTACCCTTTTTATCAGTAATTTTTGGCCTCGTGAGTTTTTCTTTTTACTTGTGTGTTGCCACCCCGTCGAACTCAACTTGCATACGGCCCCAATCCCTGTTGATCCCGTCTGTCTAAGATCTAATCACAACGTGGGTAGGCAGACCGGAGATCAGTACAGTTACCCTAGTAACCAGGTGTTGGAAGCGAGTTTAGAACGGCGAGGCTGGTAATCATCTAACCAAAGGGTTGGAACGTCACACTTGGAGCAGCGAGGAGCGAACAGCTGACGCCGCGGCAAAACGTCACGTCACAGTTGGAGCCGCGAACGAGATCGAACGACAGAGTCGACGCTGCGACCAGGAGGAGCGACGTCACAGTTGGCGCCGTGACCAAAGGATTCGACCCTGGACCAAGTGACGTCACATATATATAAGAAGAGACGCTTGCATGGGCGCACACGCTCAGATACACACATACACTATTACGCGTATTCATTCTGTCTCTTTCTCTCCCTCCCCCCTCTCTCTCTTTCTCTCTCTCTCTCTCCCTGTGCGTATATATATATATATATATATATATATATATATATGTATATAAAATAATGTACTCTCCCGTCGGTTTCGACGTATGAGGATCTGACAGCTTATTGATTCAGTTATGAAAATTTATGCGATAATCTTAAGTGACATTTAAGACCCGCTAGTGATTTACAAAGGAGTCCACATGTGGAGCAAGTGTGAGGATTGTGAGATGAGATCACTGTTAGATTGGCTGACATTTTAGATTTTTAGTTCTTATATATTTTATATATTTTATAGGATCTTTCAGATTATATATATATATATATATATATATATATATATATATATATATATATATATAGCTTTAAACAGCACAGACATCATACTTTAGGAACATTTCGGCCAACATTTTTTCAAAGGTATTCGGTCAGCATTTTCTCGACAACCATGCTTGTACCTCTGAAGATAAAGACACTTGGTTTTCTGTTTGACACAACGCTCGCTCAGTATACCCTCTCCGAGTCTTGGAAGCTGTTTTTATAAAGTGTCATCAGCTTCGCCTGTGTAGACAAAAAAAACATTTTTTTACGTTCCTTGCGGTTGTTGGAGGGTTTGTGCGTGTCTTTTTTTCCATTTTATACTCTTGTGGAACTTGTTATTTTCACACACCCCCACCGTTCAATTTTAATTGTGTGTAATTAAAATTACTCTTTTAATCGCGTTCTACCTTTCCCTCCTCATTTACTTTATTGAATGTCTTCATTTGTATTCACAATCGCCAATGAATACCTTTGAAAAAGTGTTGGCCGAAAGGTTCCTAAAGTATGACGCCTGTGTTGTTTAAAGGTATGTTTCAAATCACTTTGTATATATATATACTACTGACTGTACTGATGCGGCATTCACCCTGGGCGGATTGAGCCGGCTTCTTCCTGTTATGAGAAGAAGATTCTTGGGATAAATTACAGAAGTAGGGTACCCAGGCCTACTCGGATAACGTTCTTGCTTGCCGCGGGGTTCCCACAGACGCAGAGACAGGAACGACCAGAAGCCGCCGGTTACCGATGCAGACGCTCCTTGGATTTTCACCAGAGCCCTTGTTAGCCGGCGTGTGTGTCAGACCTGTCCGCCTTTGGTGGCCCTACCAGGAACGAAGTTCCGGCAGCATAACTCTGACACTACCGTTTATATATATATATATATATATATATATATATATATATATATATATACTGCTTACGGTATATATATATATATATATATATATATATATATATAATTTTTGGTCAGAGTTGAATCAAACCAGGAAACTGTAGTATTTAAAAGTGCTCAATATACGTGCGATAAAAATAAAAAAATAAAAATATCATGTACAGCCTTTAACTTTAATAACTTATTTTACCTTTAGTATATCCTTTCTTTTCTTCTGTTTCACGTCTTCTTCTCCTTCCTTCTTCACAACTTCTTTTTATCCCACCTAACATCGTGTGTTTGATTATTTCTTTTTCATTTTCATTAGTTTTTTTTTTTTTAATAAAGGGTAGAGAGATCAATTGATAAAAATCGCCTGAGGAAACCGTAACGGATTCAACTCATCTCCTAATACACCCTTCTGCAAATTTAATTCAAACAACCACTTAATTTCCTTTCTTTCACCATACGGTCATTTTTACACCCACTGGAGTGACAGGGTGTAATCAATTTCTATTTTTCCTTATATTAGATTATTTGCAGTGATGGGCAGTAAATATGAATCCTTTTTCTGGGTGTATCATGAAATTTGTTTGGTCTTGAAAAATAATGCGTCATCCGTGATTGCATCAGATTATTATCACGCTTAGACATCATTGTCTCGACTGTCGATTAGTTGTCCTACGGCCATTTTTCTGTGATGGATGTTACTCCAACGAAGCGTACAAAATTGTAACGCTGCACGAACACACTGGCAATCCCTTGCAGTGAGCAAATTTCTGGTGTTCTTAAAGCCTTACCTTAAGGTGGCAGCTTGTCTCCCCTTTATATTTCCTTCCGCAGCTGCACGGGATAGCGTACACACAGTCTTTAGTCATGTTCTTCTATATGGGGTCTTACTCAGAAGAGATATCTGTGAAGTGTCATCAAGCTTTTGAAGGTTGTCCTGATGTTATATGGACCACAGATTCTTTGTATTTTCTCTGATAACCTCTTCACATAAGGCAGGTAGACTGTTTTCTGAGTGTTGTTGTCTTGTACCCGCCTATCCCAGTTTTTTTTTTGGGGGGGGCTGCTACCATGTAACCAGGGTAGTTGTTACGTTGTATGGTACTACTTATACTGACTAATTCTTTATCTAATGTCTCTGGGTTGCTACTTATGACGTTTGCTCGGTGTTGTAAGCAGCGGACGATCCTTTTCTTTACGCTGTATGGATGGTGAGAGTTGAAATTGAGGTACTGTCCGGTGAATGTCGGTTTACGTTATACGGACGTCTTGAACCCATGCTCTGTTCGAGATATTAGAACCTCCAGGAATGGGAGTGTGTTGTTACTCTCTTTCGTTATCGTGAACTGTATCGAAGGTCTTATTGAGTCCACATTGTCCAGTAGAACCTGAACATCTTCCTGGTGTGGCCAGAGTATGAAGGCGTCATACTAGAAAATGTTGCCGATTTTTAAAAAACTCTACTAGCTCAACCACTACAGGCCATAGGATCCTCTACACTTGGTATTTATTTAGCTGATTACAACTCAAGTGCCATCGTGGGTAAGATGATAAACTACATCCGATAGCAAGGCCTCTGATCAGAATGATTTGAGGAGCGTAGAACAGCTTCTTTATTGCTGGTGTTCACAGTGCCACTCTGACCTGGATGGTACCTGTTAGGGTCCCAGCTATGGGCAAATAGTTAACCCTCAAACTGGGGTCAAAACATGCAAAAATAGGTTTTATTAGCAGCAATACATTTTTGTAAAATTATTACCAGCAACGAATTTCTGAAGAAAAAGTTATTATGAGCAATACAATATTACTAGCAATACTTTTTTGGAAAAAATATTACCAGCAATACATTAAAAAATATTACCAGCAATACATTAAAAAAAAATATTACCAACAATAAAAATCTTGTTGGCATTAAATAACCCATTGAGGTTGATATGCCGTAAAACAAACCAAACAACACAAGGCTAAATAAAATTAGAGTAATTTAAAAGATTGAGTAACGTCAGTTTTTCTAGTATCTACCTGGCTTAGCAATTAACATTCTAAATTTTAGCTTTTACCTAGATTCCAAATCCTGACTCTGGTATTGGCGATGGATATGCAGTTACCTCAATCATCATTACTTCCGTCTGTGTATGTTGACATAACGATTTAATTTGGGGGAAAGTAAATAATAAGGAGTTATCTCCCTTCTGTACCCTTTTTCGACTCAGGATCGAAATAAGATGGGGTATTTTCTCGGATGTAAAAAGAAAAACGTATTTTCAATGTTTCCTTTTTAATGTTTCCGTCTGATGTTTATAGATCACCGAATGCGCGAAAATCATGAAAAACGTTGGCGAGTAATGTGGCCGAAAACTTGAAATAAAAACAATATATGTCTTTCTGGGATGACAAAAGGGGGAGGGTTGTACACCAACTCCTGTGAAATGAAGCAAAAACACTAGACTAGAGAATACTGGAGTATCAGACGTGAAAAAGGAATATGCTCGTATCTGACGGCCGTATCAGTAAACCTAGTGTAAGAATAAATACAATATGGGTAACAACAAAGATAAAGGCATTATTTCGACTCTAAATAACGTAAATAAACGTCCAGAAATTCGGAAATAAAATTAAAAAGAATAAGAAGAAAATTAAAGGAAAAAGAAAAGAAAAATAGAAAAGAAGAAAAAAATTAACGAAGGAGGGAGGAATGAAAGAAGAATAAAAGAAATATGAGAAAAGGTAAAAATGAATAAAAAAACAAAAAACTAAGAAAAACGAAAGAAATAAATGTGTTAGAAAAGTTAATAAACAATAGAAGCAAGTCGATTGTTCTGATGAGCTTACTTTCTTTGGTATATTGATACTTTTTCACAAATTTAAGCGCTGTACTGGATTGGCGTCTAGGTCTTTTCATTTCACTGTAGAAATTGCTAGACCTAACTGAAAGTTCTATGCTGTTTCTTATTTCGCACTTCTCTCTTGTGGTACTTTCTATTTGGCTTCATACTTCCCTGCCAATCGTCGTCTTCTGTCTGCTAGAATCCTGTCCTTTTTATTGTCCTTTCTCCTCAACAATGCCTTCATTCTTTGCATCTTAGCGACTTTCTCCCCTTGCTTGGGTTGAAATGATTAAAAAAGAAAAAAGGAAGGAAAGAAATAAAAAAAGAAAGAAACAAAGAAGGGGAGAGTGAAAGAAAGAAAGAAAGAAAGAAAGAAAGAAAGAAAGAAAGAAAGAAAGAAGGGGAGAGTGAAAGAAAGAAAGAAAGAAAGAAGGGGAGAGTGAAAGAAAGAAACAAACAAAGAAGGGAGAATGAAAGAAACAAAGAAACAAAGAAGGGGAGAATGAAAGAAACAAAGAAACATAGAAGGGGAGAGTGAAAGAAAGAAAGAAACAAAGAAGGGGAGACTGAAAAAAAGAAAGAAACAAAGAAGAGGAGAATGAAAGAAACAAAGAAACAAAGAAGGGGAGAGTGAAAGAAAGGAAGACATAAAGAAGGGGAGAGTGAAAGAAAGAAAGAAACAAAGAAGGGATAATGAAAGAAAGAAAGAAACAAAGAAGGGGAAAATGAAAGAAAGAAAGAAACAAAGAAGGGGAGAATGAAAGAAAGAAAGAAACAAAGAAACAAAGATGGGGAGAGTGAAAGAAAGAAAGAAAGAAACAAAGAAGGGGAGAGTGAAAAAAAGAAAGAAGGCGAGTGTGAAAGAAAGAACGTGATAGACACTTTCATAAACAACAGAACAAAGAAAATTATAGAAAAGAAAGAAAGAAAATGGGAAAAAGAAATAAAGTAAAAAAAAATACTTATAAAATAAAATCTGAAATCTATGTAAGTAATTCTGCAACAATACAAGTTTGTCATTTAGAAGTTGTCAAATGCAGAAAACGGGATGTGGCACTTGAAAAATCGGGCATGAATTTCCTCTGGAGTTTTACACACATTATTTTATTAGGATATTTTAAGAGCTGCAAATTAGCGTTGGAAGTTACCTACTTTTACCATAATATTTCCATTTCCTCAATAAAATGTTCTCTTTAAGCTGACCACAATATTAACGCTTTTCAATCTATTTTAAAACGTCAGATGATTATTGTACTTGTTCAGTTACTTCTTAGAAGTGACTGCCAGAAGAAAAAAAATTTCTTCTAAGGAAGATTTTGAGTGCAAAATTCTACATCATCATTGATATTATATATATATATATATATATATATATATATATATATATATATATATATATATATATATATATATATATATATATATATATATATATATATATATATATATACAAAAGTGTAGAAGAACGAACAGTAAGATCACAGCGTTCAAAACATTAATTTAAAAACAGTGCTCAATAAAAAGTAGAGTCATAAATATTTATTTATTTATTATGCATTAGAACATGCACATATCCACTACAAAATTCTACATTTTTGTTTCAACGTCAAAAAATGAAAACCTTTTTTTAAATGTCTCATCAGATGAGGAATCATTTTTTGACGTTGAAACAAAAATATACAATTTTGAAGTGGATATGTGAATATTCTAATGTAACACTGCATAAGAAACAACACACGCACAAATATATATATATATATATATATATATATATATATATATATATATATATATATATATATATATATAAACGGTTAGTCTGAATCAAGTGGCCGGCTAAGTCCTGAACCAATGTTGATGAAACTTTACATACATGTTAAACTAATATTCAGTTTGTTACTAGGCTAATTGGGTTTTGTTTTTTTGTTTTTTTTTACTGAAACATAAATTGGTACCGCTAGAACTGTTTACAGTGATTAAGCAAGGGAGATAATTGGTCTTGCAAAGATTTTAGAAAAATTAAGATACATGGATGTTATGACTCTCATAAACCTTAAAGTTCCATACAAATATGGATCTTTGTTCGATTTTTTAAAAAAAATATAGGATAGCATCTGAACGAATCGCAGGTTAGTTTCTAAATAAAGTCTTTATTTAACACATTAATTCAACATCTCCGTGGTGTGTTTACAATTCGCTTACATGACAAAAAAAGTCAATTCTTTTCAAATTTCACCATGTGCATCAATAAATTTGTCAGGTTTGAATATATTAAATACAAAAAAATTGATTCGATCCATTTGGCCATTTAAACGTAAAATAACATTTAAAATGAATGAGTTTATTTGCGAATATAAAATTTACCTAAGCTCATATTTCAACCTACCCTTAAAAAGATATATTGTAGTTGAAGTTGTATTCGTTGCCTGTTTGAATGACATTCTCGTGATATATACCGTCTGTGTAAAAAAATCTAGCTGTGGAAATAGACATCCTTCTTAAAATAAATCTAAACGTCCTTAATCGGCATGAGCCACGTACTCTTCCCCGTTTTACTTTTAATTACGGCAGTTTAATTAGATGATATCAATTTGAATCGTGATGAAATGCGAAACTAAAATCAAAAATTCAATAAAGGATTTTTTAAACCTTTCATTCCATTCAATTCTTGCAGAGTTAATATATATTAATGTATATTATAATTCATAAAAACAATTAAAAGATTTTCTAATTAAATAATGTTTTTGTTTTACTGGATTTTGTCTGGTACAAGTCAGAGCTGATTTTCGGTAATTGGTGGTTCAGTTTTACAAAAAATAAAAGATGCTTTAAATTCTTCAAAGACTTCTGCTATTAACTAAAATAATAAATAAAAATGAATTTCTATAGTTTTCATAAAATTAAGTGCGTAACAGATGTAAAAATATTTAAAATTTTACCATGACTTTCTAAAGAAACAATTCTAAATAATTTCAGTCATTTGTGAATAGTTTCTGAAAGTTTTATTAAAATTATTTGACTTATGGAAGAATTTCCAATTCAATATGACTGATACTATAATGAAGACGATAAATTGGCTATTTTAATTCATGGTAACATTTACCGGCCTGAATGTCCGAGAAATTTTCATAGAAAATATTCGCCCTCCGACAGGAATCGAAACTTGCTAATCCAATTCAGGCCGGTAAATATTATTAATACTGTTTATGATAAACAGAGCATTTACTTAAATATTTGTATCTATTAAAAGAATGTATAAACATAAAAATGTCTTAAAATAATTGCCGGACTTTGTCCATTTCATAATGTTTGACGTCATTTGTTTATATTTGGATACGCTTTGAGCAGATATGAATGTACGTGAGAGATTCATGGAAGATTGTAGTTTAAAAGCAGTAAAATCGACCTTCCTAATCCAGCTATCCTCTGTGGCTCAATCGGTTAAAGCACGTCAGGCTAGATGACGGTTCCGTATAGGATACAGGTTCGATTCCTGTCGGAGGACGAATATTTTCTATGAAACATTCAGGTAAATGCTATTAATACTGTTTATTATAAACAGAGCATTTACTTAAATATTTGTATCTATAAAAAGAATGTATAAGCATAAAAATGTCTTTATATATATATATATTGATTATACGTTTCTTATATATATATGTATCTATATATATATATGGTTGGTTCAGTATAATTGATATTACAATTAAGCAGCCATAAAAGAATAAATTAGTAAGGTTAATGTAATAAATGGCGAATTCACTTCGCTAACAAATTTAAAAAGCATTAACCCACTAACCACTCGTTGAATTGGTTCCTTGTTTTTAGATGTTCCGTATTTTCCATAAATATGATAGTACTTTCGATAGATCCTCCTAACCTCATCGGGCATGAATATTATTTTTCTTTTTAGATAAAGATAATATCCGAGACTTAAATAAATTTAATCTAAGTCGAAATATGTTTTTTGAGGTGTGTTATTGTTAACAGTTATAAAATTGTGGAGCGTGCAGTCGCAACGCTAAGGTTGAATCTTGAAAAAAAAAACATCTTCCGACTTGTATAACATTTATTCTTTGTATGACTTCTCGAAAGTACTAGCATATTTATGGAACATCTAAAAACAAGGGTCGCATCATTCATCGAGTGGTTAGTGGTTTAATACTTTTAAATTTGTTAGCGAAGTGAATTCGCCATTTATGACATTAACCTTACTAATTTATTTTTTTGTATGAATGCGTCATTGTAATATATATATATATATATATATATATATATATATATATATATATATATATGTATGTATGTATATATATATATATATATATATATATATATATATATATATATACGTGATAGGGCACATATTCAATATACATTCACATAATCTCTCACTGTAAAAATAAATGGTTCGTTATTCCATATGTTTTATGACTGATTCACCAATAACAAGTAACAAATGCCTGGATGTTGTCTCTGCTTTTCACACTACACCGTCTCAACTTATTCTACCGTTATATGGTTCACTGCTTTCTCTCTTTGCCTGTAATGTTTCCCCAACTCTACCCACCACTATCACAATACGTAAAAAGAATGGAGGCTATAAAGAAAAAAAAAGAAAAAGTACAGAACATCCGGTAAGAGACATGAAAGGGGCCACTTACATCATTGTATTTAGGACCTACATGTAAAAGAAAAAATAAAGAAAAAAATAAATAAATAAAATCATAAAACTTACACTGGCAAGAATACCTTTCCAGTCTATTAATCAGGATCTTTTGGCATCCAAGAACTCTATTTTCGCATATCGTTACAACAATGAAGCCTTATTTTTAACCTGTATCCCACTTTTTCATAACATATGTAATTATTAATACCTTTCACAAGATGCTTTTCAACCATTGTATTTAACCGCTTTCCATTACTCCAGCACCCTCCTCGGTATTCGAGCTAAATTTAATAATGCAAATATTTGCGTGGTTTCTACTCGTGTTTTCAATTTATCAAAATTATTTACCTGTATTTCAAGTGTTTCAGTGTTGCTGTTCACAGCTTTCAAGAATATATTCCACAATTCTTCCGCAAGGCCCATATAAAGGCCACTCGATATAGAGGGCTACGTTAAAATGTTGGTTATATGGATAGGAGAGAAAGATAATGGTTAACTCTAGACATGAACAGGTAAAAGATTGTAACGATCGGAGAAACATCCTCTTGGGAGTCGGTTCCACAGGGCAGTGGTTCGCGGGAAGAAACTGTCTGAATGGAACTTACATCCCAACGATGGAATACAAAGGGAATGTGGGTGGTTTGTAACTCTGGAAGTAGCATGGTGGGTCCTAGCCGTGAAGGGTTACAACTGGCGGAACCAAGGTATGTAATTCGTCCAAGCACTTTCCATGAAAGAAGCGATAGAGCAGTGAGATGCCCAACACATTCCACCTGTCGGAGAGAGAGGATAGAGGGTTAAAAGTAATTCTTCTCCCACACGGACTTTAGAGACGCTTTTGAATTCTGTTAAAACATGAAAGTGAGGACTGGGTAGCTCCCGCCCACATATGACAAGGGTACTCCATTTTAGGCCTGATCTGGCTCTTATAAAGGTAGAGGGTAGCATGAGAAGTCAGGTACATACTGGAACTTTACAGGGAACCAATAGTTTTACTTGCATCTTTAACGATGGATCGTATACAAGAGTTCCACTTGAGGTCAGGTGTGTGTTTCAGACCCAATATTCTCTCAAGGCACGGTGCCTACACGAGAGGACATCTGGTCATCGTTGGGTTCTCATCGGCGCTGACGGGATGTATCCAGTTGGGTTTTCGATGCACCGAATGCAACCAGCCAGTTTTTCCCCACAGGGAAGTTAGTGTTAGATCGGAAAAGAGATCAGCTACCAATCATTGATCATCAAAAGTTTTACACGTGCATATTCTTAGATAGATCATTTATGTAATCAAAAAGAGAGTTGGTTAAAGAACTGACTCCTGGAGGACGCCTGCGTTGATCGCCTGTGCAACGGAGGACTGGCCGTTAATAACTGCCTTCGAGGAACTACCAGTTATGCAGGATTTTATAATTGAAAAAACCCTTCCAGTGATCCCGTAGCTGGAGAGCTTGTATAGAAAATCTCTATAATATCTTTTTCTTAATCTGAAAGACCCAAACTATTTAAAGTTTTGTTTATAAATTTTCTTAAAAGTGTTATCTTGTGATTGTTACTGGAATGGAGAGTTTTTTCCAGATCTCCGGTACCTTTCTCAATATTTTTTCAACTCCGCTATTGTCGTGATTTAACCCGTCCTACTTCTTCCTCGCACATGCAATTCATCTACTCCTGCTTCTGTTATTATTATTATTATTATTACACGTGTGTACTTTTTCTTTTATGTGTCACGTTCCTTCGGGACACTGGCGATCATGGCTCTCCACAATTCGTTGTCCTTTGTAAACAAAATCCAGAGTCTAATATGCAAGAGGAAAGGTCCTGATCTGGCATCTAAGTCTACAATCGCTATCTCACAGACGTGCCGTGGCCTCCTTCTGTCTCTTCTACAAGTATTTTCACGGCAACTGTTCCGACGAGCTACTTTCGCTGGTTCCCGGACTGAATGAATTTAAGCGAGCTACCAGGCTGGCATCTTGGTCCCACCCTTTCACTGTCAAAATGGTTAAATGTAACTATCTCTTCTTTTCAAACAGCTTCTTCTCCCGCACTTCCCTTCTGTGGAACTCACTTCCCCTTACTTGCTTCCCCGATAACTATAATCAAAGTATAATATCAATTGATATCTGACACCCTGAGCTTGTTGCCTGTCTTTCTCTGTATCCTTTCCCCAACATAACTCTTTACTCTTGTTCTCAATTCTTTGTTACCCCATTGCGTGCTAGTAGCACTCCCGCCTTGCTTGGGATGAATTACTTTAAAAAAAAGCTCTTAGCAAATTTTCTTTTTGCTATATCTCCTAAATTCTATTCTACCAACCATTTATACACGCTTGTTACGTAGGTTACGCTTTCTAACCCTTTTGCTCTCAATATGTTCTGTGAGTGTCAAATTTCCAGGCTTTCTTTCCTTACCTCAGAGATTTCAACTGTCTCTTTCTGATATTAAGTATAAATGTCCTTTTTGTTTTCATTTTCACTTGTTCGCCGTTGCTCACGTGTTTGGTCCATGGTGTTCTCAGTATCATTCTGTAGAAACACATTTTTCTTGTTTCAAGTCTCCTCTTCTTTTAAGCAGAATATCTAGCCTTCAATGCCATATAGGAGGACTGATATGACGTAGTACTCTTTTCTTTGTTTCTAATGAAATTTTGTTAATGCTTTGCTTAACTTAAGGAAGGAATCTTTCGTTAACTCAATGCGTCTTCGGATTTCAGTCGCACTTTCAGTCTTCTGTTAAGACACTTCCAATATATTTAAATTTTTTTACTTGTTTGATTTTGGTATCTCTAATTTGCTTGTAGGACTGTTCTTGCTATGAACCATGCATTCTCTCTTCTTTCAACTGATAGTTCGTCCTTTTCACTCTCCAATTCCTTGTGGGTAACGTATTATTTTTAACCTTTCAACCTCTCTCCCAAAGGCAGTTTGCGAGCCTCTCAATGCAATTTAGCTACTTTCATGGAAGGTGCTCTGACGGACAATTTGAGTATCGCCTCAACGTATATGTTGACTAAAAACTTCTGAGAAGACACATCCTTGTATAAGTTGTATTCTTCTTTACGGTACTATTCTCAGCATAAATATTGCATTTCTTCTTAATTCATCAGAATTCGGATGATAAATTTTGTTATATCGCGCATTTATCTGTCCGATGGAGCAACATTTCTTTGCACCTGGCTTAAGCAGTGCTATGAAAATGGATCTGTTTAGATCTCCCTGTATGTCACCAATATTGTATATTTAATTTATATCATGCTTCAACTACAAAATCTAATCGTTTTACATTGAATTTATCTCTTGTAGTTTACATTATATTCAGATCTTAATAATATTCGCTTATGCTTTTCTTCCTCGCGTTTGTTCACCTGGAATGTCTACAAACAGCTTTGGTATTCGTATGCTTCTGTTGTCAATGAGATTTTTTAAAAATACCTTCATCTGAAGAGCCACTTTGTACTACATATGCAATCAAACGTTACTAAAAAGAAAAGATAAAAACTATTTACATGTAATACAAAGAATACTGCAATTTCTCTTCTACTTTTCTTTTTTCTTTAGTTGTTTTATCTTTCCGTTCCTTTTATTCCACCTCGCTTTCATAATTTCTTCTTCTTCTCTCACATTTACTTATCTTTTCTCCTTTCTTTCATGTCTTCATCATCTGTACTTCTTCTTCACTTTTTCCACTTCCTTCTTCTTCTTCTTCTTTCATATTTACTTGTATTTTCTCCTTTCTTTCATGTTTTCTTTTTCTTCTTCTTCTGTCACAGTTACTTATCTTTTCTCTCTTATTGCATGTCTTCTTCTTTTCCATATACTTAACTTTTCTTCTTTATTTCATGTCTTCTTCTTCTTCTTCTTCTTATTATTATTATTATTATTATTATTATTATTATTTCACATTTACTTACCTTAGGTCCTTTCTTTCACGTATATTTTTTTCTTCGTTCATATTTATTTCATCGTCATCTGCATCCTTATAATCTATTCTTCGTGTTTATTTACATCATTTTTCTTTCTTTTCCGTTTTCTTCTTTACTCCTTTTTCAATTGCACTTCTTCTTTTCAATTGCACTTCTTCTTCTTTCATATTTACTTGTATTTTCTCCTTTCTTTCATGTTTTCTTTTTCTTCTTCTGTCACAGTTACTTATCTTTTCTCTCTTATTTCACGTCTTCTTTCCAATATACTTAACGTTTCTTCTTTATTTCATGTCTTCTTCTTTCTTTCTTTCTTTCAGGTTTTGTTCTTTTATATCAAATTATTTTTTATCGTCATTGTTCCATCCCAATAAATTGTTGTTCTTGTTGTTGTCCTTAGACGCCAAATACAATATTGAATCATAAGGCGCCTCGGACTCCATTCAATAAAAAGAAAACAAACCTTTAATGTAAATACTTTAATGAATCTCAACACAAGCCTTTTCGTTGCTGCTCTTGAAAAAAATGATTTATTTTCCCTGAAACGTAATTTAGAAAATTACAGTTGAAGTTCCGCCTCTCTCTCGCTTTCTCCTTCGCACGCGCATGCGCGTTCTTCGCATCTCTATAATTTATAATTTTCGGTCATTTTATGGTCGTCAGAGGCAGTCTTACCAGCAATTAGTGCCAAAACCACTGCTGCCGAGAGAATATTTCTTTTATTCGTTCTTTAGGATTTCCTTTTTTAGTGTTTAATTTCGCATGCTTCGTTGCAAGTAAACATTACCTGTTATCTTAGCATTTATTCAAAAATTACTACACAATACTTTTTTTTAAAAAAAAACTATCAAGTATAAATATTCTTTTACGCTTTTCAGGTTAGGTTTCGAGATATGAAAAGGGAGGATATTCAACGATTTCATTAAAAAAATAATGAAAGCACTTTGGCGCCATCGCGTCTCAGAAACAATTCATCGTGAGTGTTATGTATTTGTCAAACAGAAATGTTGGGAATAGATTTATTCGGCCGTGGATTATTTGAAATG